GCACGCACGCTCGCACGCACGCGCACTTTTTGCGTCGGCGGCTGGGCAAAGGTTACTGCTCCAGCGATCGGGCATCAGTGGGGCGCGCCAGATGCAAATTGGGCCGCGGTGCGCGCTGGGAGGGGAGAGGACGCCCGGCGCAGGCGGGAAGAGAAGAAGCCGGGCCCGCTCAGGCCAGTCCCAGCAGCGGCGAGGCGGGCGCCGGTGGGGGGAGCCAGCCACGTGCCAGGCAGCAGCTGGGGGGAAGGCAAACCGAAGGCGGCGTACGCACGCACGCACGCACGCACGCACGCACGCACGCACGCACGCACGCACGCACGCACTCACGCACGCACGCACGCACGCACGCACGCACGCACGCACGCACATACATACGCACGCACGCACGCACGCACGCACGCACGCACGCACGCACGCACGCACGCACGCACGCACGCACGCACGCACGCACGCACATACGTACATACGCATTCACGTACGCACGCACGCACACACGCACGCACGCACGCACGCACGCACACACACACACACACTCACGCGCACACGCGCACACACAAGCACACACACAAGCACACACACGCACTCACACACACACACACTCGCACGTACGTATGCACGCACGCACGCACGCACGCACGCACGCACGCTCACACGCCCACCCGTCCGCCCGCCAGCCCGCCAGCCCGCCCGCCCGCACGCACGCACGCACGCCTTCCCGCCCGCCTGCCCACCCGCCTGCACGCACGCACGCACGGACGCACGCACACACGCACACTCGCACCGACGCGCACTCGCACGCACGCAAGTATGCACGCACACACGCACACATGCACGCACGTACACACGCACAGACGCACACACGCACCCACGCACGCACGCACGTACGTATGCACGCACGCACCCACGCACCCACGCACCCACTCACCCATGCAACCATGCACGCACGCAGCCACCCACACACGCACCCACGCACCCACGCACCCGCGTACCCACGAGCCCACGCACCCACGCACCTACGCGCACGCGCACCCACGCACCCACGCACCCACACACTCACGCACCCACGCACGCACGCACCTGCGCACCCTCCTGCGCACCCACGCACGCACGCACCCACGCACACACGCACCCACGCTCCCTCGCACCCACGCGCCCACGCACCCTTGCACCCTTGCACCCTTGCGCCCACGTACCCACGCATCCACGCACCCAGACCCACGCACGCTCGCATGCCTACGCGCACCCACCCACACGCACCCACACGCATCCAGATGCACCCACACGCACCCACGCGCACTCGCACGCACCCGCACGCACACACACAGGCACGCACACGCACCCACACGCACTCACCCACACGCACGCACGCACGCACGCAAACATGCACGCACGCACGCACACGCACACGAACACACGCAAACACACGCACACACATACACAAACACAAACAACCACACACACACACACGCACACGCACCCGCACCCGCAAACGCACACACACACAGGCGCGCACACACGCACACAAACACACACGCAGACACGCCCACACACTGACACACACAGACACACACACACACACAAACACCTACACACACGTACGCACGCACTTACAATCACATTACACACGCACACACATACACACACTTACACACCCACACACACACACCCACACACACATTTACACGTGCAATTGCATTTCCACTTCCACTTGCACCTACCCTTACCACTTACACACACTGACACACATACTTACTCACTTGCTTACCTACTTATTTCCTACACACCTACACACTTACACGCACTTGCACACCCTTACACACATTTATGCACACACTTACGCACACGCACACACACACACGCACACACACACACACGCGCGCACACACTTACACACACTTACATACACACATACGCACACACGTACACATAGACACACACAGACTCACTGACAAGCATATACACACACTGGCAGGGCAGCCTGATAGCAGCCCCAATGCTCTGCATGTGGGGCCAGAGGGGGGCACACGTCCCACCTCCCTGCCAAAGTCGCAGAACTACCCCAAGAAGACGCGCACAGACCAGACACGGATCCGCTCAAAAGCGGTCCCTGGATCCCTCCCGGGGTCCATCTGGTTTATTTTTTCCTCCAAGGCCCGAGAACGGCCCCTCGATATTGAGAAAAAACAGTGGATCCAACCTTCGTCCGCTGCCAAGGACCTCGCCTGCGCCTCTACCCTCCGATTTCTGGCCTGGCGCTCTCTGCCGGCCCTCTGAAGGCTCCACTCGGCCGCGACCCCGTCCACGGGTGTGGGGCCACTGCGCTCGCCTCCACCCGCCCTCGGACTCTCGGCGGCTCGGCGTATCCGAAGCAGGGTCGTCACGAACCTCTGTGCACCCCCGCTCCCCCGGGGCCAACTGAACGACGAACCTGAACGGGTCTTGCGCGAGATGGCATAGCGACCTTACGCGATGGCTCACGCGGGCCGCCAGCGCGGCCTGCTACGTTGGAAGCGAGGGCGCTTACGCGCGACCTTACGCGGGCAGCTTGCGCGCCAGCCGGTGAAAACGAATCCGCTTCTCTGCGTCGCTCGGCCGTTCATTCTTGGAGCCGCTCCCGGCGGCCCCGGGGCCCGAGGCCGGCCCCCGGGGCCCGAGGCCGGCGGAGGAGGCCCGCCGCTCCGCTTCTCGCGAACCGCCGGGTGCCTGGCCTCGCTCGATGCGTGCATCGAGAGACAGAACACACACACTCACACACACACACTCACACACACACACACACAATCACACACACAATCACACACACACACACTCACACACACACACTCACACACACACACTCACACACACACACTCACACACACACACACCACACACAAACCTGTGGAGCTCCGCGCGGATTTCTGGGGGCGGCGCCGGGCCCCGATCCAACAAGCACCAGCGCGGAACTCCAGGAGCTGATGCTCGTGCAGCTTGTTCCTCTTCCAGTGTGCAGACGTGTGCAGACATTTCGTCGCGGTCAACCGCAGCCTGCGCACGGCCCAGGTGCAGCAGTCAGGGCAAGGGCGTTGACGTGCGTCTGGGCAAACGGAGCCGCCATCGAGGGCCTGCGCCTCTGGCCACCTGGCGCTCGACCTTGAGCAGAAAAAAAACGCCAGCCTGGTGCCTGGTCGCAGAGATCAACCAACGGTCTACATGGGCGTTGGCAGAAACGTTGGCCCCCCCCTCCTCCTCCTCCTCCTCCTCCTCCTCCTCCTCCTCCTCCTCCTCCTCCTCCTCCTCCTCCTCCTCCTCCTCCTCCTCCTCCTCTCATGACGTTCCAACTGCGCTAAATTCAAGATATTTCGCACCATAACCTTGTCAATGTCCATATCAGTCGGTGTGATTCGCAATCCTGGGAGGCCCATCCGTCTGCATGCGCACATGGAGCACTCTGGAAAATCAGGGCCTTAGATCCTGAAAACATGGGCTCCTTTGGCCTTCTCGCCCCCTGATGCATCCAACGGCCTCTGGGGACCTCGGCGAGACCTCCAGGAAGCTGCGGCCTCGGATTTCGGCAGCATCGGGGGGCACTACGGTCGACGCTCTGGGGGGAATGTGTGCCGCTTTGGGTCACGGCCCGGATTGGGCCGAGCACAAAACCTCGCGTTCCCGGCTTTCGCCCTTTCCGAGCGCCGCTGGCGAAGCGCGCCCGCTGGCCCGCCCTTGGAACCCTGAGCCCCCGAGAATTGAAACCTTTTGGCGGGGGACGGGCATCTTTTGGTTCCGCCAATTTCCGTTGCCTGAGCCGCCCCGTGTCGTTTCCGCCAAGGCAGAAAGGTCCACCCTTCGATCCTTCGAAGGTGAAGCCCGTGAATGCCGACCTTCCCCCCGAACCCTGCTCGGAGAAAGGGTCGGAACACGAGGGGCCGCTGGCTGGATGGCTATGCGGCCCAGGAGGGCCCATGGTTACCTCAGTCCCCCTCCGGGATGGCCCACGCAGCAGCCACCCATGGGCATGGTGGCGGGACGGGCCGAGGGCCACCAGATCCGCCGCCACCTGTGGTTTCGCCACAGGGGCGCCCGTCGTTCCGAATGTCTGGCAGGTTGCTGGCTCTTGTCTAATAAGGGCTTTGGTCCACCCAAAACAAGAAAGTGTGTCATCGTGTATCGGGATACATCGGAAAAACATGAATGCACTATATGATGACTGTGGTGGCTTCCGGATCAGGATCGAAGGCCTTTTTTGTTATCAAGCCTTCCGCAATATATTCACGTGGCAGGCAACGCCTACCGCGTTTGCAGATACGGCGGCGCTGCCTTGGACCAGAAGGGCAATGATCGGGCTAAATAGAAACGCCCCCCCTCGGGGCGTTCCCTTAAAAGTTGAAAAGGGGGTGGGGGGGTGGGCAGCTCGGCCGCCGCCGCCCTGTCTATCAGTCCACGGCGGCGACTAAAACTAACGAGACATGCTCGTGACCGACAACTTTGATCACAAAGACAGCGCGTAAAGAGAAACGAAACGCGAAGAGCTGGGTCATGTTTCCATGGGCCAGTCTGCCGACCACCAGAGTAATCGTACGCTGAACATATACAACTTGCGCACGGTGGACCAAACGGTCGGCCCAGACAGCCCGGGCAACGACCGATTTGGCTGATCCCACATCGGTGCAAACGGACTGAGGGAAGTCGCGTATCCGCGACAAGTTGAACAGAGCATGGGGTCGTGATTCCAAGACAAAAGCAGGCTGCAGGAGGGCGGAAACGCGCTCGCTTCTGAGCGGTCGTGGTTCCGCAAAAACTTTGCGCGGGGCCAAAGGATGGCCCCCCATCTCCATGCGCAGAACCGCCGCAGCTGAGCAATCCTCCAGACCTCTAGGGTGCGTTACGCAATGCGTTTGAGCAGGCGCGGCAGTCAAGTGTCGGCGACGGGAGACTGATTGCTTCGATATGGCGCGCATGATCTGACCTTGCGCGTGGAAATCTGGTAGCCCGCCATGACGTGCAAGACCAGGTGCCAGTCGATGGTGATGGCCCCGTTGGTGTGGCCACCCGCGGTCATCTCGCGGGCGTCGCACCATTGCGCGTTGCTTATGATGCCGAGACTCAGGAGCTCTCTCAGCCAGCTGGCGCGGCCCAGTAATGTCTTCCCCGCTGGCGGTTTGACATCTTTGCTTTGGAGAGACTCGTGCACTGATCCGGCATCAGTTGTAAGGGATACTGCAGCACAGAGCCCACCATGTTCACGAAGGCATGTCAGATCAGAGGGCTCAGGGCCCCCTTGATGAGCGCATGCAACGCTACCAATGCGGGGCAGCACTCGCCCATGCTATGGGCAGAGGCAGGTGCCTCGGCAGCGTAACTGGATCGGACCTGGGTGCGATGGGTCTTGTAAAGGCTGTCGCTGCAGTGTATTACTTGCTCATTGATGCTCGTGCTTCCACGGCGCAGTGGGTTGCAGCCCCGCAGGCAATGACGCTTGGTCTCATCGTCTTCCTCCAATGAGTTCCCGATGCCCAGAGTCGTTGTGCAGGCCCGCGTTTCTGGCAGCCGCCGCCGTGCGATAAATGGTCTTCTTGGCCTCCTGCAGCAACTTTTAAGTGGGGGCAATCCGTCGTCTCGCCTGGGTGTTGGTCGGTGTCTGAATGCGCCGCAGTGAGACAGTGTATGCCTTGATGCAGGATTGGGAGAGGGCAGAGAACGCAAGGGCGCCCCAAAGGCTAACAACCATATCGCAGACAATCATGATTGCTGCGGTGCGCAGAGGGACGCGAATGACATCGGGATGCGGCATCGGCCAAAGTTGCGGAGTTGCTTGGTCTACTCATGGGATCCACGGTTACATCGCCCCCAGCAGTCTTGGTGCACCTCGCGGCGCAATTCGCGCAGGTATGTCTGTCAAGCTTGCGCGCGCCGAATGCCTGCTCGACTTTCTTGGCGAAGGCATCAGCGTGGGTCAACTTGCCGCGCGCCATGATCTAATCTACGTGTTCGGCCGCGGGCAGGTGCTAAGTGGCCTCGAACTTCGGGTCGTGCGGCGTGGGCTGGAGGCCAATGTTCCCCGTGGTTCGCTTGGGGAAGGAAGCGCGGGGGGCATCCTTAGTGCCCGTGCCTGACTTGCGGCGCGTCAAGCAATGCCGCGACTCGTCGTCATCCTCAAAGTCGGACAGAACGCGTAGGACTGGCGCGCTTCCAAGAAGGAGAACGCGCAGCGCGTCCCGACTCTCCTGTAGTTTCAATCAGCTCTTTGTAACTGAAGACCTGAAGAAACAATTGTATACGTCTGGGCTGGCTGGAATCCAACCTGGGAAGCTTGCAACTTCGCCCATCAACAGAGACTGCGCACGTCGCGCCGTCGCGAAGAATGTCTCCACGGAGAAAGCTCCGCGGTCCATGGCCCCCCCCGACACTGGACGAAAATGCATGATGCGTTCAGTTTGGCCTGGCTCCGTTTTTGCGAACTGCCACTTGCATGCGCACCTGGAGGCCATGACGTTCTGAGCTCCGGATAACATGTGCATGGTGAAACGCCAGTTGTCCAGCAAGGTCTTAAACCCAGCCAGAAGGGCAGACAATGCATGTTTAAAATGACTGACGAGGTCGTAGTGATCAACGGCATCAACCTAGGTCAGCGCATCGATGGCCATCGCAGGGTCGCCTGACCTCTGGTAGGTGAATCGTTCATCCAATTTCTGCTCACCTAAGTCTATGGAGTCCTGCTTAAACGTGTGGCTCTCATGCTCGTAAGGTACACGCGCCGTGTGGATAGGCATGAGTGGGGGTGGGACTGACCAGAGGTGCTGAAGTTGTCCAGTGAGAGTGCATGGTTCCGTGCGCTGGTGTTCAATGTCCATCATTTCCAAATGCCAGGAGCGCGAGATCAAGGAGTCTTCCTCTTGTTCGTCTTCGCCCCCATCGTTGCTATCAGACGGTCGTCTCCGCGCTCGAACTCTGTCGTTTTTTTCTGGGGGGGGGGGAGTTTTTTCCACGGTCATCGCCTTTCCGAGGTCCATCAGCCAGGTCGGGGATTCGCGAGAGGTCCTCGTCGAACGAGTGGACCGGTCTAGTCGAGATAAGGCACTGTATCAGACGAGCGTGGTCACTGTCAGTGATGCCTGGTATGTTGAGGTATGTCTTAGCGGACTCGTGCAACTTGAAGCCGCGCTGGACGTCGTTGTCATAGTAACTCAAGACGCTGCGGCCAGTTCACGGTTGGGACTGCAGGGAGTGGGCGCTCCTTGCCAGACTGACGGCGAAGACGTGGTCACTGCTGAAATGAATCCGAATGCCGCGCTGCAGGCCGGCGCGCAATTTCGGGGCCGACTAACTGCCAAACGATATTTTGCAAACCTTCTCGCGGTCAGGTACGCAGCCAAAAACAACGGGGGCCTTTCCCGCCGAGTAGGCTGACGCGCATGACATGGCGGCGCGCGCAGCCACGTCGTCCATGCCGAATTCCCCGACCCTGGACACCTCGATACATCGGGTTAGTCTCTCATCCGAGAGTGGCAATCTCACTATATCTTATTGTGGCGATCAGCTGGCCTCTCTCTTCATAGACCTCCATGGCCGTCCATGGGGCAATTCCAGCCGCCGCGATCATCTTGCGCGGCGGATAGTCTGCGTCAAACACCTAGGTCGCCCACGCGGCAGGCCATGCCACCCTCTGCTCTTGTTTTTTTTTGCCTTGCGGACTCCGTTAACCTTGGCCGCGGCCGTGGCCTGGGCAATGGCGCCCAAGACAATCTCGCGAACGCGTCGCTCACGCCTCTGACTTGCGGTTCTAGGTTTTTCAATCGTCGCGCGTTGGGAGGGGGCCGCGCTGGAATGTAGGGCCCCTCTTCTGCGCCTGAATCCATGGCTCTATGCAGTCGATGCAAATTGCCAGGCGTTGCTCCCACGGCCAGTGCCGGCCCACTTGTTCCTGCGCTGGGGCGACTCTGGCACAGTGCCGCGTGCGTGGATGGTCAGCCTCGCGATGTCCCTTCCGCGCGCGGTAGTTCGCCTTGCTATTGAACCGAGAATTCGGGCGGTCTGATTTGCCGTTGGGTTGAAGTGTCGGTATTGGCACGCAGCGTGCGTTCAAGGAGTGGTCAACAGCATGCTGGACATCGCCCCCCCGGTCTGCTCAGGTAGTCGCAATGCCTGAAATCCCAGACAGTCTTCTTCTAGCACATGCAAACCTTGACATCCGTCGATTCCACAGAATTGAAAAGTCGTTCGATAAGAATGTGATGTCGAGGGTGCCTGCGACTGTAAATGTCAATGGAGATGTCCACGTAAGCATTGTCGTCGCCGCTGTTGTAAAGGTCTTCAAATTGTACGCCATGCGTCACGAGGGTAACGTCCTCGCCCAAGCCTGTGAGATCGATGCCGCAATCGTCATTTCCATCTTCTACATGCTTGGGGATATTCTCGGGCTTCATGCTGGCTTCCGTGCCCCCCCTGTGGCGCGCGCGTCCGGGGGCGGGAAATGCCGCCGCGTTTCTGCCGCCAGTTTGCGCGCCCAAATACGCGGGATTAGAAGCGGGGGCGCTGCTTCAGCCATCGTCGGAGAGGAGGGGATTCGGCATCTAAGATGACAGCTTGACGTTTCTTCTGTGGGTGATGGTCGTCGTCGGGCTCGCTCTTCTCCGCCTCCCCGCAATGCGGGCGCGTGGAAATCTCCGACTTCAGGCGGCAAACCGCGCCTCCTTGTCGAGCCAGATTGGGGGTTCCTTGGCCGAGATGTCCTGCGCGACTAGGTCTTGCGCGTCGGCGTTGCGAACTACTCCTGGCAACCAGGCTACAATCGGGCATCTTCGGGCCCGACTCGCGCGTCTCGAATCGGGCGGCGGTGAAGTCGCCGCGCTCGTGCGCGCTGAGCTTGGCGTGAGCCGCTGGGGCATGTGCTACGAGATACTTGGCAAGGCAATTGGTCAACTTGGTGAGTATCGCCTGTCCCCGTTTACTCTGGCGCCCGGCTCTCCCATTCCAGTCCAGCGCATGCCCCTCGATGCCGATCGGGCGCGCGCGCGACCGCGCGCGCGAAGATAGCTGCTGTGCAGTGGCGATCTGGACGCGCGTGCGATTTTCATTATACTCGTATCCTCGCATATGAAGCCACCATCTCACGCGCGCCGCATTTAAGCCGCGGCTGCACGGGAGCTCTCGCATCGGGGGCAGATGCCAGACATGGCCCGGTGGCCTAAACATAGCGATGTCCCTCTTGTCGTCGCGGGCCTCGATCGCCAAGTTCTGGGGCTTCTGCCAGTGGTTCAGAACGTTCGCGGGGAATGCGAATGCGGCGAACACTGGGTGCGTTGATCCGTGGTGCTGTGTATTCCGTTGTAAACCGCTTACAAAAATATTGCAGGCCGCCCGAGGTCGCCAGCTCATTTCTGACGAACGCGATCCCCTCCCCGATTGAGTCTGCTCAGGCTCCAAGGGGGCATCGCCCGCGCTGTCGTCGGCCCCCGGCGGGCCCGCGTCGCAGGCCAGCAGCGGCGCCGCCGGCGCATGGGGCGCCATCGCCTGGGCCCCCGCCGAGGTTGAAGGGCCCTTGCAATTGCCCATGGACCTCTCGACGACCGCTTCTGCTCGTCAAGCGCCGCCCTCTGAGTAGCGAGCTCCGCCTGCGCAAGCCGCGCTGCCTCCTCCTCGAGCAGCTGCTTCTCTTCCTCTGCCTGGGCCGCGCTCGCGGCCACGATCGCCCCCTTCGCCCGCGTCGCCGCCGGGGGCTGCCTGCTCCTCCATAGCCATCCTCTTCTTCGCGCGGCTGTCGTCCACCTCCATGCGCGCATGGGCGGCGTCCTCCAGCGTGATCTGGATTTCAGCCTCCTTGGCGCTCGGCGTGCTCTGGAGCTGCACCTGATTCCGCGTCGCCTTGAACTTTGGCTGGTTCGCTTCGGCGGCGGTGGCCTCCCCGGCAGCTGAAGCCGAGGCAGTGATGCCCTTCGCCTTGGCCAAGGTCTCCGTGGCCTGGGCCGGGCCGCCCGCGCCGCCTGGGCCTCCTCGCCGATGGCAATGGCTAGTATGTCTTGCAATCTAACCACTGCTGCCGCTGCTTGAGCACTTTTGTGATCCGCATCCTTCCGCGCACCATTGGCGCGCCTGGCCGCCTCGGCCTCTGCGCCCGGCGCGGCCGTCTCTCGGTTCGGTGCCTGAAGCTGGATGAGCTCCGCTGAAAGGGCTGCCTTGAGCGCGGTGGACTCGGTTTTCGCCGCGACCTGCTGCAGTAACCGATCCAAGCCAAACTGGTTCGTGTCCACCGGCGCCTCCTCGAACGTCTCGACGCCCTTGCCGCCCTTCTGCGATTTTGACGCGCACAGTTTGACTTTCCTGTTGCATTAGAAGCAACTGGAGTGATCAGCGAGCAAGCGATGGTTCCACTCATACTTGTGGCATGCCTGGCGCAATGAGCAATCGAGGCTCGAAGCGGTCGTGGCGCTGGAAAAGCTTCCGGTTACTGTCAACGCCAACAAGTACCTTACTGCGTGCAGAACTCCGGGCGTGGCCGCCCAAGCGCCGCGCGGAGGCGCAGGCAGGTGGCTCGAGCAAAATGCTCGAGCTCAGATTTCTTCGAAGGAGGGAGGGAGGGAGGGGGCGAGCGGGAGGGTCGACGATGACGATGACGATGATGACGATGACGATGATGATGAGGAGGAGGAGGTGGAGGAGGAGGAAAAGGAGGAGGAGGAGGAGGAGGAAGAGGGGGGGGAGGAGGAAGAGGAGGAGGAAGAAAAGGATATGTTGGTTTTCCCACCGCCGCCGCGGGCCCCCTCTAGGGACGGCGAGGCCCGTCCTGAGCAGGTAGCTCATGTGGGTGGCCCTACCGCCACCTCAGAATTCATCCCAAGACAATCCGCGCCGAAGATGCAACTGAGACCGAGGATGTGCAGGAAACCGCCGAAGCGCCAGAGCTGGGAGCACTTGCCATGACGGAGCCGCAGGCGTCAGCCTCTATCTGCAGAGGAACAGCAGGGCCCCGACAGTCAGAGTCAAGAGCTGGAGAATTAGGAACCACCATGCGTGCACCATCGACCCATCGGCAAGCATCAGGAACCACGCGTCGGAAGGAGAAACATCATAGATACGACCAACCCTGCCGATGAACTCGCCCTCCGTAACCACGCGGTGCTTGCCGATGTAAAAGGCTCAGCTCCCACCCGAACTGCATGCACAACTCCCCGAAACTAGGGCCCTCGCGCGGGCTGAACGCGCCCGCTCCGTCCGAGAGAAAATGCATCTCGCGAAGGGCCACGTCACCAGCGCAAGGCTGAGTAGCCCCGCCAGAAGGCCGCCCGAGAGAACCGCGAACGCTGCCTGGAAGTCCCTTAGCGCAGTCTCCACGGTAATGAACACATCCGCAGGACGGACTTCCACGTGCCTGCCGCCGCTTTCGCCGCACGGCCCAGCATGAGCACCGCGGCCGCCAGCAGCTCAGTTCACGCCAACACCATGGTGAGGAAGCTGGAGGGCAGCCCGCACCGCGCCGTCCGCAGAGAATCCGGCGCCATCACTCTCGTAGATCATGGCATCCATCATGTCACTGGCGGATTGCTCTTCTCCTTGGGCGGGAATGGCGGGGATGGACAGACCCCCCTTTAGCAAAACGTGGTTTACTGAAAACGACCTCGGGCCCAAACCCGGCGGGCGCAAGCCTGGAAAATAGCGGCCACGGCGCCCTCTCGAGAACCGAAAACGGACAATTCACTAATCGACGTGTCACTGTTGGGGGTTCTGTCCAGCCCCGAGAATGGCAGGAACGGCGGGGGGGGGCAGCACCGCCAACCCCGCCAACACCTGGAGGAATAATCCCAGGGGCAGCAGCGTCGCGAGCAGCGAGATCCGCAGGGGCCGACGCGCCCATATCCGCTAAGATCCTCGTCGGTTTTACCAAGATGGTCACAGTCATTGACGCGATCCGCATCGCCATCGCCACGAGAGGCGAAACCCAACCCCGACAAAATCCTGTCCACCCGACCCACCAAATTGTACCGTGCAGGAGGAAAAACCAACGCCGCCGCGTGGAACGGGAATGGAGAAGCAGCCGACCGCCCCAGTGATGCCGAGGGGCCTTGTGCAGAGGACCAGCCGATGCCCATGAAAATCCCTATCGTCCCAGTGCCACGGGTCGACCCCGCGCGGGTCTGAAGGCCAGGATCACCTGGCTCGTCAGATCGAGGCCGCCGACTATCAGGATCAGCATCGCCCCCTCCTGACTACCTACCAGACCACCCCAACCCAACCCGAAGACCCGAATTTGACCCGAATTTCGGGTTGGGGGGGGTACGGATACCATGTGTTTTTTCAACGTTCCCCGACCCCCCCCCACTGGAAATGGAAGGCAAATTGATGGCTTCGGGTTGGGTTGGGGTGCTTTGGTGGGCGGTGACCTCCATCAGGGCAAAGTCCATCTCCAAGGAACCGGGGGTGGGGGGCCGCCTGGAGCTAGATGCGGATCTCGGAGGCTTGCGAGGTGTGCCTGTGTCCCTGGTCAACAGCTCGGAGACGGCCGACCATCCGCAGAATGGAATCCGGCGCCGCCAACGGTACTGCCCGTTCGGGGAACGAGGTCGGAATGCCGGGGAAGGTCGACGATGACTTTGTGCTCAGCACGCCCGTGAGCTGCCGCACCGCCAGCCGAGGTGTGCGCACGAGCGCCGCGCTCCAGCTGCCTGCGAATCCACTGAAACTGCCTGCGAATCCACCCCAACAGGGGGAGGAGGAGGAGGAGGAGGAGGAGGAGGAGGAGGAGGAGGAGAAGGAGGAGAAGGAGGGCGAGCCCTGGTCCGGTCGTCGGATTCAAGCCGCGACCAGGTGCTGTAACCACCGCGGCCTCACGCTCCCGGCCAGTAAACAGGCTCGTCTTAGGGGGCAATAACACTGGGAAACTTGCCAGCTGAGATGCGGGCCAAATTCTCACGCCGTTTCTTCAAAGGGGGGTGGCAGCCAGCAGCGAGCTGGCGCCGCTCCGCGGTGGTTGTGCGACCGCAATGGTGGCAGAAACACATGCTGAAACGGTCACAGGACCCAGGACGGTGGGAACCGCATAGCGGGATCCCGCAAACACCCACGGGCCCTAGGACCGAGACGGGCCGCATCCGAAACACAATCCGACGTGCAAAACTCCAGAAGTCTTGCCCCGAACCGAAAGCCCCCGCACCTGGAGCAACGATCAAGCTTGCCACGCTTCAAAACATGGTGGGAACTGGATCGGGCAGCTCTGTCCCTAAGAGTGTCGACACGCGCTCTGTAGGAGCAAGAGGAGGAGGAGGAGGAGGAGGAGGAGGAGGAGGAGGAGGAGGAGGAGGAGGAGGAGGAGGAGGAGGAACAGCAGCAATAACAGGAGTAGTGTGAGTAGGAGGAACATGGGGAAACACAAGAAGAGAAAACATGGGGACAGTAACGACGACGGGAAAGGACAGGGATCCCAATCAGGGAAGAGAGGATGATGACATTCACACGGCGACGGTGTCGAGGGGCGGAGGAAGAGACGGAGGAGGAGGATCTCCACCCGCTGGGAGCGGCGCCGTGGCACATCGCCGACCTACCTGAGCAGGTCCTGCAGGTGAGGGAACCCGTGCATCATAACTTTGAATCCATGGTGGATGGGGAGGAGGTTGGGGAGGATTGGCGGCGCGCACAAGGGGGTATGGTGGAGGGGGGGAGGCTTCTTAGAAGGCGAAGCCGGCCCTACATCTATAGATAAGGCCCGCGTCTTCTGAGAAGCAGCCTCCTTTTAAGAAACCTTCCCCCTCTCCCTGCCCCCCCCTTCTGCGCGTGGCCGAGAAGAGGAGGAGGAGAAGGAGGAGGAGGAAGAGGAGGACCAGTGTAAACCCAAGAGCCATCAACGATGTTGGCATACACCCTCCCTCCAAGCTCCATTTTCGTAGGCCCCTACAGCGGTTCCTTTTTCATTCAGGGAACTGCCTCATTGGAAGACAACCTTTTGAATACCCTGAAGCATGTCAAGACATGTTGCTCGGGATTCCAACGCCACGGATCAACCTGACTGTTGCGCCTTGACGGTCCTGGATCGTGCCAGGACGCCATTCTTGGGATTTCAAAACCACGAATCAACGTAATTGTTGCACCCACAAAATCCTGAATCCTCCCAACATGCAAATTCTTGTACGTTGATAATGGGAGTCTGTGAGACTCTCTTGCAAACTTTATAAACGAATGTGCACGGCGCTAAAGCGAGAACCACATTTTGAAAAGGAGCCGCCCTAAATCCGCGAACACCTGGCAAATGTTTAAAACGACTGTGCGCGGCGCTAAGGCGAGAGGCACTGTTTGAAAACGGGTTATCCTCACTCCGTGAAGCTCCTGTTAACTTTTACAACAAATGTGCGCGGCGCTACGGCGAGAGTCACATTTTGAAAACCCCCCGCCATCAATCCGTGGAACTTTTGCAACAGTTAATAACGAATGTGCGCGGCGATACGGCGAGAGCCACATGTTGAAAACCACCCGCCCTCCAAATGTGAAGCTGCTGCCTTTTTAATCTTCGGAGTCATAAGTGGTGAGGCAATCTCAAACGAAACGCCGGGCACGCCCTAAAAGCTGGCCTCGGGGTGCGACAGGAAGTAGGTAATTACACGGAAAAGGAATTGAGGAGGAGGAGGAGGAGGAAAAGGAGGAGGAGGAGGAGGAAGCGGACCGCTTCCTTGGGTGGGGAGGAGCAAGACTTGCCATCGCTCTCGCGTCCACTCCCCGTGCGTTTGTCGGCTTCGTGCGTGCAGTTCTTCGCAGTATGATCCAGGATGCTCCTCGACGGTGCTCGCCGAGGAAAACATCGCACGTCCGAGCGATGCCTCAAGCAGGAGGAGGTCGAGGGTCCCGGCAGGGCGGGGCGGGGCCCGTGTCTGCTCTGCGCGGGCACCGCCGGCGCCCGAGAGGCCCTCCTCGTGCAGGTCGCGGGTCCGGGCCTGTGGCGCGCCCTCTCGGGCTTCTCTCCTCCGCCCCTCCCTCCCTCTCTCTCGCCCTCTCTCTCGCCCTCCCCCTCTCTCTCTCTCTTCATACCACCTTCCCTCGCTCCTTTGCCTCTCCTCCCCTCTCCCTCCCTCCCTCCCTCCCTCGCTCCCGCCCTCCATCTCCTTCTATCTCCCTCCCTTTCTCCCTCTGCCTTCTCCAGTTGCCTCTCGCTCTTACCTCCTCCCTTGACCTCCTCCCTCTTCCTCCCTGTCCGCCTCCCCATCCCTTGCCCCTTCGTCGTCGTCCTCCTTCTCGTCCGTCCCCTTTCTCTTCTAGCTAACTCATCTTCGTCTGACCTTCGCACGTGTCGGCAGGGCGGGCCTGGCGTTTCGCCTGAGACTTCCCCCTGCCTGTGGCTCCGAACTGGGAACATCCAGCACATGCGCGGATGGAGGTCTTGTCGTTTGCAAACGGTGGCTTTCGCCTTAGCGCTGGGCAGAATCTTCTGAACACAAGAATATCCAACAATTATGTGGATGGAGGCCGGCACGTTTTCACGATGGGACTATCGCCTGAGACGTTCCCCTCTAAATTTATCAGCACACCTGTAATGTGGCGAAACACTTGTGCGGGTAGAAGGCGGCTGTCTTTCCAAATTGGGCTTGCGCCTTAGGCTTCGTTTGTCTGTAGGGCCATCAACAAGTGTGTAACAATTGCACGGACGCACGGCGGTGTCGTTCTAAAGCGGGGCTGTCGCTGGGCACCACTTTGAACTTTAAGGCCCAACGTTGTCGCATTCCTCATTATAGCTCGAAACATGGAGTGCGGTTTCCGTCAAAAAGGCTCTCCTCCTGAATTGCGGGCCCATGGGGCGCTCGCTTTCAAGGGGGGGGCTTCGCGCAGTGAAGCAACATTCTTCTAGGGACGATTGAAGAGTGGACTTGGTGTGAAAAGGTGCATTGCAGCACCTTTTACATATCATCGGTTTCCTCTTGCTGTCCTCTTCCTCCTCCTCCTCCTCCTCCTTCTCCGGTTCCTCCTATTCGTCCTTCTCCTCCTCGTCCTCCTTCTCCTCCTCTTCCTCCTCCTCCTCCTTCTGTCTCCTCTCTCATCTCCCTCTGTTCGTCGTCATTCCTCTTCCGCTCTTCCTCCTGCTCCCCCTCCTCCTCCACCTCACCGTCTCCTCCCTTTCCTCCTTTTCCTCCTCCTCCTCCGCCTCCTCCTTTCCCCGAAAGCGCCGCGCGAGAGCGGAAGCGCGCGCCACGGGGGAGGAGGGAGGAGGAGGAAGACGAGGAGGCGGGGGAACAGGAACAGGATGAGGAGGAGGAATCAGGGATAAGGGATCACAGTGAACCAGATATTCAGAGCGATGCTGCAACACACCCTCCCTTTTCGAACCCTCCCCTCACACGTCCTTGTAAGCCATCCTTTTCGCAAGCTTGCTGGGCCTGCCAGTTTGGTGAGGGCCCCACTTTGAACGGCAATTGCCTTGCATCTTTTTTTTGCGCGTGACCTGGAACGCAAGATAACAATGATCATACATTGCAACATGGTGCCCAACGGTCCCCCTTTCGAAAAAGAGCCGCCCACATCCGTGTAGATGTTGCACGCGCTTACTTGTGCGAACGTGAACTGGAAAGGGCATCTCAAACAACAACTGTTTTTTGTTAACGGAACAGAACCACCATAGATCCGAACAGCGCTACGAGCTAAGAAAAGTCTGCTCTTCCGGCTAAACGAAACCTCAAGGGATCTCCATTTTGGCAAAGCTCAATCCTACATGCTGCCGTCCGTTGTCGAATACGTTCGCCAACGTGGACCCCGCACAATGTATTGCTGACAGCCTGTGCTGGGCAATGCGTGAACAGCAAAGGTTTGTGGGGCACTATGTGTTGTGCAGTCTATGTTGTGCCATTTGTGTGGTGCAATCTGTGTGATGCACTCTACGTGGTGCAATCATGCTGCGCAGTTCATATTTACACATGGGTTGGCGATTTCCATGCCCTTGCCAAACATCACACCCACCCACCAGCAGCTTGGTTTGCAAAACCCATACAACGGCGACTGCGATGACTGCTTGCCTCTTGCTGGCGCGCCGCCGCGGCCGCGCTAGTCCGCACATGCCCGCGCGCACAGCGGCCAACTGGTTTGGCGCGACCGCCGCGGCCGCGGTGGCGCTGACCGCTGTGCACTTCCCAGTGGGCACTTCAGTGCGAATCGGTGACTTGGGCGGGCGCGGTATCATGGCGACGCCGACGCCGACAACAAGAGACACAATTATGAGAGTAGCGATGCTGGTGGCGATGGTGGCGATGACGGCGGCAAGCCCAATGACGGCGCCGATGTTGACCACGCCCGCCGATGATTGGCGCGCAGAAAGGCAACCAGAAAAAAAACAATACAGCCCACAATGACGTTACGCATGCGTGTCGAAATCCAAGACGCCCCACCGATAACGATGACAATGTCCTCGCGTCGGCGATGGAGGCTTTTGAAGGAGTTCGACATGCGCGCGCGGCCGACGCGCGCAAAGGGCCGCGTCGCATTATTTGACAAGGGAATGCCCCCACAGCACGCGCGCAAGGGCGTTCGAATGAGTTCGACATGCGGCGCGGGAAGCCCG